AAGTTGATGATTGTGGTGTCTCGTCTGCAAACTTTCGGAGTTTGACGGCTGTGTGTGTTGAGATGCAATCGTTCATGGATAGGGAGAAGAGTAGCGGAGGGAGAGGACGCATCTTTTTTTAGCCTATCTGCATAGCCTCTCTTTGCGATGTTGATTTCCTTTGTCAATTGGTTTCAGGCATGTTTGATTAGTGCCCTATCTCCACTTCGAAAGGCGGCCTCTTTCTCGTTTCTATATTGCCTGAGTTTGGCAGTGAATAATGGCTTGTTATTGTTGAAGGAGCGAAAGGGCACACGTCTTCACAGAAACTAATGTATAATGTCACATTTTCTGTATACAGTATTTGTCCAGGCTGCCAGTTGAAGTTCCAAAGATGCCCCAGTGGGTGCAGTCCAAGCATTCTTCTGGTGCCAGCTTTGCATCATCAGTCCATCTCTTCACAGTCTTGACAACGAGTTTTACACATTTGAATCTGTGCCTGTATGTAGAGATTAAGTGTATTAAACAGTGGTCAGAAAAGCCCAGTGCTACATGGGCAACAGATCGGTATGCATCTTTAATTGTCTTGTAGCAATGGTAGACTCTACAATGTTGCCTTCTCTGGTGAAACGCTCAATGTGCTGCCTATATCTGGAATGTTCATAGTTAAGTTGTGCTCTCTTAAAATGACCCAAAATAATAAGTGGTGACTCTGGATGCCTGAGCTCAAGTTTGTTTACTTGGTCAGCCAGCGTTTGTAGTGCTGTGTTTGTGTTAGCTTGCGGTGGAATGTATGGAGGAGGAGAACTTACGGTTTAGAAACAGCAACTCCAAATCCAGGCTGCAGTGTGCATTGAGCTTCTTGATGTCAGTGCACCATTCTTCATTGATGTAGAAGTATATTCCACCACATTTTGATTTTCCTAATAGTGCCGTGTCGCGATCGGCTCGAAGGAAACGAAAGCTGGGTTGGTGCAGCGCAGCGTACGGGTGGCGGTCTCTGAGCCAGGTTTCTGTGAAGCAGAGCGCGGCCTAACATGCAACGGTTTTGGTGATCCTCGTGAGAAGTTCATCCATCCTGTTTGGCAGAGAATGTGTATTAGCAAGATGAATCGATGGAAGCGGGGTTCGAAATCCATGCTTGCTGTAGCTTGACTAGCGCGCCGGTACGCTTCCCCGTCCTTTGGCGGCGTTTCCATGCTCCGTACAGTGCAGCCTCTCCGCTCTTCATTAACATCGAAAACCTTTGTGGGTTTTGTGTGCTGGTGAAAAAAGTCAGAGCGTAGACTCCCTAATGCTATGCAACTCTTCTCTCGTGTTAGTAAGTGATGTTAGGTCACAAATAACGAACGAAAATGACAAAAACAAGGACAATACGAGGGAGTGCGTAACTGAGGCTGCCACACTTGCTGGCGCCACATTGGCCAAAATATCAGGTACATTTTGGATTCTCGTCATGAAGCCTCCCTAGTAGGACAGCCACATTGGCCAAAAGATGAAATAAACCCCAAGGCATCTCCAACAGGGGGTCTGTATTGGACAATACATTCGGTTCCCCCCGGATTCTCGTACCTAGTCGTCCAGCATGGGGTGATCATGTTAGCCAAAATATTCGGTCCACCCCAGATTCTCGTCCCTCGGCGTTCCCAATGGGGTTGCCATACTGGCCAAAATATTAGATACACCGGATACTTCCTTCCTTCCTTGCTTTCTAATATCCTTGCTTCCTTGTTTCCTCGCTTCCTTGCTTTTTTCTTGCTTTGTTTTTTCATTGGTTCCTTCCTTCCTAGTTTCCTTGTTTATTTGCTTCCTTCTTCATTTCCTTGCATCCTTGATTCCTTACTTCCCCAATTTCCTCTCTCACTTGCTTTGTTGTTTCTTTACTTCCTTAAGTCCTTGTTTCGATGCTTCTTTCCACATTTTTTCAAAATGCACAATAAAAGCCAAAAATTACCGTATTTTCACGACCATTCGGCACGCCGTATTGTTGGGCGCAGTCTCAGTAACGGGTGCTATTTCTGTATTTGACACATACACAAAACGCACTGTATTATTGGGTGCAGCCAGGCATGGTAAAACATATGCCAGCTTAAACATAACGGCATGCATGCACGCACGCTAAAAACATGTTAGCTTGAAGCATACAGTAGCATGCATGCATGCTAAAACATACCAGGTATGTTAGTTTAAAGCATGCGGTAGCAGCTAAGACATACGGACACATGCTAAAAACACGTTTTTAAAAAGGCAACGGAAGCAAAACTGAGTTCGTTTGTACTTTATTTAGCCATTTTACAATGTACTCACGCGACCGGTACCTGCTAGGGGTGTGCCTTTAGCGTCCTCTTACACGCCTACCCTTCACTCATTGGTGACTGGTACCTGCTAGGGGTGTGCCTTTAGCGTCCTCTTACACGCCCACCCTTCACTCATTGGCGACTGGTACCTGCTAGGGACGTACCTTTAGCGTCCTCTTACACGCCCACCCTTCACTCATTGGCGGACTTCCGCATGCCTGTCGTCACTCACGTCCGCCTTTTCTCTGTATAAAGAGCGTGTCGGCCAGAAGTGCTCTCAATCGGCGCATACATTAGACGCTCCGCATTATAAGGCTTCCTGTCCATTTTGGAGAAAAATTTAAGACTTTTAATGGCGCCTTATAGTCGTGAAAATACGGTACCACTTCTTTTTTGTTTTACTCCTCATCCACATTTTTAAACCAATTCAGCTTTTAACTTCTCTGCTTATTGCTACCACTGTATAGTTTTCGAAATTCATAAATAAAAGGCAGAAATTCATAATCTTTTGTTTTATCCTTGAATTGCTACACATTTTGGCTGATTCAAACCATTCAAACTTCAACATGCTCTCCTTCATGGGTGTCCAAACTTGGTCCTCAAGAGCCGATGTCCTACCTGTTTTCCACCTCTCCCTGCTGAAGCACACCTGATTCAAAGGACCAGCTTATCAGCACTTTCTGAAGGACCAAGATAACGATCCTAATAATTTGAATCAGGTGTATTGCAGCAGGAGAGACAGAAAATAGGCAGGATATCGGCCCTTGAGGACCGACTTTGGACACCTTTGTTCTACTTACTCGATGCCATTCTGTTGTCATTCTGTCATTTAGGATCATTGCGCATCATTCCAAATTATTCCAGTGGCAACAAGAAATGTCTTCTTTTACATTTGCTAATGATGCTACTGTATCTAATTTCTTACGTTTTGAAGCATAAGATAAGAAAACCTTTATTTGTCTCACAATGGAGAATTTCCCAAGTTACAGCAGCAAAATTATGAAATGGACAAAGTAGAAGACAAAAAGTACATAAATAAATATAAATATAAAATATAAATATAATCATATTAAAAATGGGTGAGTGGGGGTGAGTTCAGGTTTTCAGGACCAATAGCCTACCAGCAGTCGGCAGGAACGAGCGGCGGTACCTCTCCTTGCAGCGCGGGTGGATCAGTCTTTGGCTGAAGGAACATGAAGACATCTATGAATGTAATTTTTCATTGTAGTCATATTGCCAGCTACTGGCTAAACAGATGTTTTATTCTTTGATTTTTTTTTCTCCTAGCATGTAAACCAAGTCTACCTCATATTTGTTGGGAAGAGTGTTTAGGCCTTGGAGATGTTGAAACACAAACTTTGAGTTGGATTGAACAAATGCACATTCGTAGCATATTTCCGAAACCCCCCTCCAAAACAGAAATAAGTTAATAAAATTTCAAGACATAAGTTTTTTTGTTTATTTTTTTAATTGTACGACATACAATAAAGTCAAGTCAAGCCAAGTCAACTTTATTGTCAAATGTGCTTTTTGTGCAACATATAGCACAGATGTAATTTCTGTCCTCCCCTCTCCTCTCAACCACAGGAGAGACTATCACGACAGTCTCACGCTGACTACTAAGCGAACTAAATTTCCCACAGCACTGATTGGACAAGCAATGTAATATGATCATCTGCAGCCAGTGATGGCCAAGCGGGCGTGTCATAACTGACATGTTGAGTCGCGTGTGTCTTACCCGCCATGGCAGAGGCTCCATCGAACCCCTGAAACCAATTCACCGAACCCCTGGGGTTCGATCGAACCCAGATTAAGAACCACTGAATTAAACCTTAAATATATGGAACAAAACACTGAACATGAATAATATTCAGACCAGTGCACAGTGGACACGACACACCGGATTGGTTTACCCATTCAATGCCAGCCATTTTTCTGAAATTGGAAGAACTGGTGCCAGCCATTTTTGACCATTTTGACTAATTTGTAAAGCCCCAGAGAAAACTGAGTTCTCAAGCTAATAAGCATGGTACCTACCAAAAGAAAGTTGAGGAAAAAAAGTACATTTCGACGTTTTATCATTCTTTAGTCAACAGCAGTTGAACAAGTTTTTTGAAAATACTCGTTTCCAAGAAAAATTGTGATGAAGAGCTTTTTGTGAAAAGATGCGTTTCAAGCAGAACTTTCACTTTGATGCAATTTTTTTTTTGCATTTGTGATACCTCAAATATCACAGATGACGATGGAACACAATCATCTTTTTTGTATTTGAAAAGCTCGGTTGTTGAGTTAGCTACCACGTGACGTATGATCGCTTTAGGACCGGCGTACCACAGGACTGGCGTACCACACTCCACACCCACTCACACTGTGTGCGACCAAGATCTGATCAAAGCCACTCCTGCCATATCGTGGGGATTTACCATACTGAAATCATTCCCATAGCCTCATTACTGAACAAGGAGGTGGGCAAAGCCCTTTATTCATATTTTCGAATAAAAAAACAACCAAAAACACGTTTATACGTGTTGACACTAATGATTGGGTTTTTAAAAACGCATTTTTATGTTTTAGCATTAAAGGAGTTCATGTTGCATGAGTAATGTTTCTCTAACATGTTAACAACAAATGTACCTGAGATAATCATTCAGTACACATTGCAAATTATGAACACATTTATTGCTATAAAGTGAATGGTATTACAGCTAATGTTTCTTTCTTCAGCAAGTGGGCCTGGCCAAGGAGTTTGAGAGTCTGGTACGAGCAGACAAGAGATTTGAGATCTGTGCTGACGTCATCATGGGTCTGGTTTGCTTCAGGCTTAAGGTAAGATCACCCAACTCAAAAATAATTTTAGGAAAAAAAAACGTTTCAATAGCATTGGGCTGTAGCATATACAGTATAGACTCTGTTATCATGGTTAATTATTTGAGATCGAAGTTCTGAGTGGAATGTGAACACAATACGGCTGAGTGTCCGCTATTATTTGATATAAGATATCGGGGTTCAACATAAACAGTGGACCGATGTATCGGGCCACAACCTACCTTCAAACGCTTGCCTGAGCAGGCTAGTACAAATGTCTAAGTCACAGCCATCAAAAATGGTTGATTAAAAATACGACCATTATACGCTTGACTAGATTAATGAATCTGGTTAAATCGAATATTGCAGCAACCCTTAATAGATTCAAACCAGCAGCAGTCGGACCACAAAATGGCAGAAGTGGGTCCGTCAGTCCGTCACTCTGTCCTCATTAGTTTAACCACTCTTCTGTCATGACTAAATCAAAGTTTTGTACCGCTATTTTTGGACCATCAGCCAGTCCATCACTTTGTCATCGTTATTTTAACCAGGCTTCCTTCAGCACTAAATTATGGTTTGTCACTGCCCAATTTTTTTTAATGATAAATGAAGTGCACTTATGTCAGTGGATCCAAATCATACGGTTGCTATCCAAACCCTCACATTCACTGATTTGCAAATTTTTCAGTTCAGCCTTTTCCAGCAAATGGAATGTTTTCTGGATGTCAGTCACTTCTTCAGTTTGTCGGTGGTACGTGCCATGAAAGAGCTTGTCTTTCAATGACAATCCAATTGGCTTCTTTTCCGTCACGGGCGTCTGTTGCCTGAGGCATTCACGAAGCAGGTCGTCCCTGGATCACCTTCCTTTGGTATTTGACTTCATGGTTGCTATTTCCCTGTAGAATTCCAAGGTATTTGTAACTGTCTATTATGCTGCTTTCAGGTAATTCAAATGATCACCTTCTCTTTCCTAGATACCATTTTAGCTTAAATGAGTGCTTCTGACATTTATATAGTACAAAAAACATTCTGGTGTCATTGCTGTAGGTCCTGGTGAGGTGAATCAGGGAGTGAATGTCACACTCGTTCTTAGCATAAAGCTTTGTGTCATCCATGTAGAGCAGGCATGTCAAGCTCTGGGCCTGGAGGGCTGCCGTCCTGCCTGTTTTCCTTCTCTCCCGGCTACAACACACCTGATTCAGATGATCAGATCATCAGCCAACTCTGAAGGAGCATGAGAACCATCCTGATGATTGGAGTCAGGTGCATTGCTCCTGGGAAAGATGGAAAAATGGCAGGACAGCGGTCGACTTTTTTTTTGGTATTAAAAACATTTTTTTTATTATTGGTTGGGTGAAATATACCAATGATGAGGGTTGGAATGTAGATCGACCGGTAAATTAAGAGATTCGCCCTTTGGCTCAGCTCCTTTACCACGACAGACCGATGCAAAGTCCGCATCGCAGCAGACGCTGCACCGATCCGCCTTTCGATCCCCCCCTCTCTCCTGCCCTCACTTGTGAACAAGACCTCAAGATACTTAAACTCCTCCACTTGGGGCAAGATCTCCTTGCCGACCCGGAGAGGGCACTACACCTTTTTCCGACTGAGGACCATTGTTTCAGATTTGGAGGTGCTGATTTTCATCCCAAATGTTTCACACTCGGCTGCGAAACGCTCCAGTGAGAGTTGGAGAGCCCTGCTTGAAGGAGCTAACAGTACCACATCATCTGCAAAAAGCACAGATGCAATACTGAGGCCACCAAAACGGACCCCCTCAACACTTCGGCTGTGCCTAGAAATTCTGTCCATAAAGGTTATGAACACAATCGGTGACAAAGGGCAGCCTTGGGGGAGCCCAACCCTCACTGGAAAGGATTACGACTGACTGCCGGCAATGCGAACCAAACTCTGACATCGGCGGTGTAGGGACCGAACAGCCTGTATCAGGGGGTTCGGTACCCCATACCCACAGAACTCCCCGAGGAACACAGTCAAACGCCTTCTCCAAGTTCACAAAACACATGTAGACTGGTTGGGCGAATTCCCACATCTCTTCGAGGACCTTGTTAAGGGTGTAGAGCTGGTCCGCTGTTCCACGGCCGGGATGAAAACCACACTGCTCCTCCTCAATCTGAGGCTCGACTTCCTGACGGACCCTCCTCTCCAGCACCCCTGAATAGACCTTACCAGGGAGA